AAAGCCAGGCGTATCAACAACCACAACCTTCCTGCCATTCAGCTGTGCTTCCTCCTTTTGGCATACTTCTGTTGTTGGCCAAAATGACATACTAAGCTTAAAGACTTTTCTTCCCAGAATTGTGTTTCCTGTTGCACTTATCCCAATTCCGCTTTTGCCCACCAGGACGATCCTCCGTTCAGGCCCTGCAACCCAGAGGGGAGAGGAGAGAAGAAGGGGACACAGTCAGCAGCATAAACCCATAGTTGCCTGTCCTTCCACCCAGGACAGCAACTTCCAGCCCACCCTCCAGGGCCCAAGACTTTACCTGGGATGCTTATAGTCTTTTCCGGACAAGTCGCACCGCACAAAACCCGGGATTTCTGCATGAAAAGAGAAAGAGAATCAGCCAAAGGAGAGGCTGCCTTGCAGGGAGGTTGCCCAAAACTCCCTTTCCCCGGAAGGCACAGGGAGGAATTTGGAGGGAGGGATAAAAAAAGGGCTGCCACCCCCTCCTCACTGCCCTCAAGGCGGACCCATCTGATCCTCCCCTGTGTGCCACCCCCCTTTTTATGCAGCCCTTCAATTCTTGGGAGTATCAGGAATGGTGGGGGTTGATGTCCAAAGTTGCTGGCAGCTCCCCACAGCCAGCTCCATGCTCAAAGGGCCCCTGTTGTCTGCCGCTTTAGCCGCTCCTAGTACAGCTCCAGATTGTCTTCCTCTAGGTACCCTGCTTTCCCCCCCTTCTCCCACCATCCTCTCCTTGGCCTCCCAACAAGTCCTCCAAGGTGGTCTACTCTGAATTCAATCCGTTATGGGGGATGGGAGGTCCTTTGGAGGGGCTCTTTTTTGAACCCCCTTCAATCCTGGGCAAGCAGCCTCTGCTGAGGATGATGATTTGCATCTGTGCCCTCCCCCACCTCCACCCAATTCTGCCCCTTGGGAACTTCCCCTGCCCCATGGCTCTCCTCCCTGAGTGCAGAGTGGGAGACTTTGGGGGGTCTTCTCATCCAACCCCCTCCTCAAGGAGGAGACCCTAGATCATTTCAGACAAGTGGCTGTCCAGTCTTTCCTTAAAAATCTCCAGAGATGGAGACCCCACAACTGGTTTCAGGCTATTCTACTCTCTCCTCCTTCTCCCCCCCCCATCTCAAGTTACCTCAGCAGGCCTCCCTTTGGGACAGATGCAAGTGATCGCCTCGCTCCATTGACCGAGCCCTTCTTGAGTCACAGCTGCACATCGGAATTGGTACTGAAGATTTAGGTGGACATCTTCCAGGGTGAATTGATCCTTAGGGCCTTCAGTATCGAGACTTTTCCAATTCTCTTCTGTAATCCGATATTCCACCTGGTAATTGGAGACCGAAGGCTTCTCAATGGCTACCGGATCAATACTGATCTGGAAACTCTTTGGGTGCACTTGCTCAATCTTAGGAGGTGGAGGACTTCTGAGAGCAGCTTCCAGCTCCTGACGTTTCTTGAGGATCTCCATGGTCATGGTTAAACTTTTGGTTTCCAGCATCTCTAATGAGTCAAAGAAATTCTTCATGCTCTCAGTGCTCATTTTCAGGAACATTTCAGAAGCAGCATTGTGGCTTCCTCCATGTTCACGGGGAGCAAAGAGGGATGAATGGTTGAATCTGAAGTGCAGAGGGGTTCCCGACTCATCTTGAGCACATGGGAGGTCAGCCTCCTTGAGGGCCTCCAGGACAGGTGGGGTCCCCCCATCTGAAAAGGTGATCAGGAACACGATGTTGCCATTTAGATCTTTTCCCAACATGGAGATCATGGAATCAAAGACGCATTTCTCAGCGTGGGTTGAATGGGCAAGGAAGGCCTGGGCCACAAAGCAGATGGCATCCACGTAGTCAATTCCCCCTTGGGTGGAAAAAAACTCCAGGAGCTTCTTCTCAACCAGTTTGTCTTGCTCTGCATCTCTTGGGCCTCCAAATCCTGGAGTGTCAATGATTGTGAGAGAATAGGGAATTTGGAAGCCCTTCTGATGATTCACCACATAGGCTGTGACTTCAGATGTCCTTCTCTGGGTGGTTTCATGAATGAGTTTGAATCTGAAATTATCTTCCCACCGGACACCCAGAATATAATTGATCATCCCATTGATCAGAGTGGTTTTCCCACTCCCTGTTGCCCCCATCACCAGGATCACTTTGTTGGGCACTTCCAGGTTCTCCTTCCCAAGCTGGTACAAGAGAGAGGAGGTGGAGGCATCTGAGGGGACTTTCTCCAGAGGATGGGCGAACACTAACGGCTGACTTTCCTCCACCAAGGAGATTATCTGAATGAAATGGTGAGCTACGTTGCCTGCACTTTCTTCCCCCAGTGAAGTGAAGACCTCCACCTCCTCGCTGGGGAGACTAAGGGCTCCATTATCACACATGGCAGACACCCGTATTTTATATGTTGCCTGGGGCTTTAGACCTTTGATGGGGTAAAACTCTGTTTTTCTCCTTGTCCTTATTCTAGTCCATTGGTCCTTCCCAACTCCAGACTCCACAGTTCTGTATGCCACCTTGTATTCCTTGACCACAACTCCTGAGGCAACGATGCTGGGAGCCATCCAGGCCACAGAGATGACAGAAGATGCCGCAGTGACCATTCTCAATTTCTCAGGAGGGCTGGTGGGAAGGGTCTT